ATGTGTTTATGTGTGTTTGACAGAGGATATATTTTAGTCTGGAGTGATATAACAAGCGTTTGACACTATGTGTTTATGTGTGTATGACAGAGGATATATTCTAGTCTGGAGTGATATGACAAGCGTTTGACACTATGTGTTTATCTGTGTATGACAGAGGATATATTCTAGTCTGGAGTGATATAATGAGTGTTTGACACTATGTGTTTATGTGTGTATGACAGAGGATATATGCTAGTCTGGAGTGATGTATGGAGTGTTTGACACTATGTGTTTACATGTGTATGACAGAGGATATATGCTAGTCTGGAGTGATATAATGAGTGTTTGACACTATGTGTTTACATGTGTATGACAGGATATATGCTAGTCTGGAGTGATGTATGGAGTGTTTGACACTATGTGTTTACATGTGTATGACAGAGGATATATGCTAGTCTGGAGTGATATAATGAGCATTTGACACTATGTGTTTATGTGTGTATGACAGAGGATATATGCTAGTCTGGAGTGATGTATGGAGTGTTTGACACTATGTGTTTACATGTGTATGACAGAGGATATATGCTAGTCTGGAGTGATATAACAAGCGTTTGACACTATGTGTTTATGTGTGTATGACAGAGGATATATTTCTAGTCTGGAGTGATATAATGAGTGTTTGACACTATGTGTTTATCTGTGTATGACAGAGGATATATTCTAGTCTGGAGTGATATAATGAGTGTTTGACACTATGTGTTTGTGTGTATGACAGAGGATATATTCTAGTCCGGAGTGATATAATGAGTGTTTGACACTATGTGTTTATGACATTAAGAGGTATTGGTGTAAGGCTTGACATTACCTGTAAGGATTACTCATCCAACAGTCTGCAACTTAGCTATATATAAAGTTAATTTGGTTTCCAAATGTGATTCAGGATACATATTCTATATCAATACTCTTTTCATGGGCTATGCTTGTCTTCTCTTTAGTAAACAGCATAAAGTTGAGATTATGTTCAGCTTATGAACAATTCAAAGGGTAAAACAAATCAAAAGTATGAGAAATATAGGCAAATGAGATAGAGATTGATAGAAAACCTTGCTATGACCATTGCCTGAATCTATGTTTCTTGAGCGTAAGCACAAAATTCCAGATGTGCGGGGAACATTTGCCTCGTTTCCCACCAGATCTTCTTCATTAGTGTTGGATTATCTGAGCCCTGAGCCTATAGTGCTTGTCACAGCTATGACCCAATCGTCAGCTGAAGGAGGGAAACAGACTGATTTACAGCCAGTGTGACACTCTCAGATCAGGGTTTATCTGTAGGAGACAGACCTGTACACAGTGTGTTCTGTATTATCAACTACAGTCTCATCCAGGACAGAAGGCGGCGAGCTGCCTCATGTAAGTCCATGTCCTGGGATTCCTTCATCATGTTTTGTGAAGAAAACAAAAATATGTTTGCTATGAACTTTGAATTTCTAGGTGGTGATAGTAAGCCAAGATTTCTACACCGGGCAAGCCTGGTGCGTGAATGACTTCAACTTACATATGTCATATCTGGTACATTTATGCACCTTAAAAGTCAGTAATCTTAGGAAATATATGCATATCAACAAATGTATATACTATTTCACAATATGTTAAGTTCTTTTTATAAATTTATAAACTTAACTTGATAAAAATCATTGTAGTGCATTACAGGATGACCAATGTGATCATTTCTTTGTGTGATTGTAGGAGATCAAGATGCTGTTGCTGAATAGGATTTATATGCATACTCAATGAACATGTTAGATGACATTATTTCACAGTGTGATATTCAGGTTTTAATACAGTGGACGACATCTCCTGAGAGGGTGTTACATTCTGAAAGGCCTTCTTGATATGGTTCCTGTCCCGTTCATGACTCATTGGCATTCCTCACTTGGACCTGATTTTCCATAATTCCAAGAAATAACACAGTTTTGATTTCCAAAAGCTTTCTGTAACAGCCCTTTGTTCCCAATGACCATGTTGACACAGGTTGGCCCAATTTCCCTCCATTTTGTGTGTTCATATCAGGTTGACAATGGCCAAGGTCAGTGACAGGGTCAGCTGTACACAAGTTGAGATGGACAATAGTGAAATGTATAACATATCCTGTACTGGCATTGTGGGTGTCCACATGTTGATATATACAACCCCTCAGCCCTCCAGGCAGGACTCAATACACCCAGTGGGGCTCAGTAGTTGTCAATATTAAAACACATTACTCCAAGTTTGCTTAGGGAATTGATCAATAATTAACCAGCAAACGGAACCACCCATGTGATGCTGACTTGATTGCCTGACATATGGGTGTGAAATGTACGTGACTTCAACTGCTACTTACTGTATTATATATAAGCCCCATGATTGTTATTGTCAGCTTACAAGGCAAATACTCTTACTGCAAGACATCATAAGTAACAAGGAGTTTTACTTGGAACATGTTCATGTGTAGTTTTACAGTGATTTTGCTGATTCATGTAAAGCAGCAATCAAAATATGTGGAACTGCACTTGATGTCTGCAATTAATGCTAATCAGCTTCATTGCATATTTATTCTGGGTTTATTCTGTGTACAGTCCCACATGAAAGAGAAATCTTGAGATTGTCACTGCAGTGTGTAACAGTGACTCACTTCAGAAGCAAGCTGATGTTTATTGCACTGGAGCTCTCTCATCAAGAGACAAATCCTGGATGTGTGAGACAATAAAAGATTAATGAGGCAGTTTATGACTCAGTCGGTTGTCAGATGTTAAAATGTAGGACAGCATTAATATCTCCACTTTCATATCGCATGCAGGAGACTGACACTGGCCTCATGTTGGGCCGCTTACGTCTAGGACACTGACACATCTTGTCCAGGACACCAACGCTTCACATCTAGGACACTGACACACCTTGTCCAGGACACCAACACTTCATCTTGTGTCCCAACACTTCATATCTAGGACACTGACACACCTTGTCCAGGACACCAACACTTCATATCTAGGACACTGACACACCTTGTCCAGGACACCAACACTTCATATCTAGGACACTGACACATCTTGTCCAGGACACCAACACTTCATATCTAGGACACTGACACACCTTGTCCAGGACACCAACACTTCATATCTAGGACACTGACACACCTTGTCCAGGACACCAACACTTCATATCTAGGACACTGACACACCTTGTCCAGGACACCAACACTTCATATCTAGGACACTGACACACCTTGTCCAGGACACCAACACTTCATATCTAGGACACTGACACACCTTGTCCAGGACACCAACACTTCATATCTAGGACACTGACACACCTTGTCCAGGACACCAACACTTCATATCTAGGACACTGACACATCTTGTCCAGGACACCAACACTTCATATCTAGGACACTGACACATCTTGTCCAGGACACCAACACTTCATATCTAGGACACTGACACACCTTGTCCAGGACACCAACACTTCATATCTAGGACACTGACACACCTTGTCCAGGGCCCCGTTTCACAAAGCTCTCGTAAGCCTAAGATCTCGTAACTATTCTTGTAGCATTCGTACCTCCTATACTGTTTCATAGGAGGTACGAATTCTACAAGAAAAGTTACGATATCTTAGGCTTACGGGGCCTTTAATGGGGCCCAGGTCACCAATACTTCATATCCAGGCACCAGCACTTCATATCTAGGACACTGACCTCAGGTCTTGGATGCCAAGACTTCATAGGACACTAACACCTCATGTCAATGACACTGCCACCTCATACTGGCCGAAGTCTATATTTTATTGTACATATATGTAATTGCCTCTTACTTTCATCAACATGTGAACTATATTCACTACTGCTCAATCTCTGAAATCACAGTGGACTTTTGTATGGTTTTTGTAAGCATGCCCTTTCATAAATTTTCTACCACATGGGTTTGTTATTCTGGCTAATACGGTAATCAGGAATTAATGTGGAGGTAGTGTGTCTTGCATCTGTACTGAGGGACTGGCACTGCTGGCAACATGTGTTGTCATGGATAGGTAAAATATACAAGTCATATATAACACACAATAAAATCTTACAGTGGAAGCTGAGAAGCAGCTGATCTCCAACACACATATTGATGTTTTGTACCTCATGCAGAGATCATACGAGAGGTTAGAGGTGGTTGACAATTGATTTTGACAAAATGGAAGTATCGCCTTTGTGAAGTCACTTTGATTTTGTGCCACTTGGCTGTGGTGAAAAGTTTTAAATTTGACATTGCTAAAGAAATACTTTTAATATAACACTTTTGTTCTGATATCATCAAACAGACAAGAATGTCATGTGATCAATAATATACAGAAAAAAGACGATGTTTTAACACACTTCTCCAATTACCCCAATGAGATAGTGTTTTTAATCTTTTGTCTTGTATTTATTATTGCTGGCATATGTGTTGGTGGTGAGTTGAACAGATATTCAGCTTGTTTATATACAACATGGGCTAGCAGCTGTGGATGCAGTCATACTGATGCCTCATCTCCATCCAGTGATATTGTTAGGGACAAGAAACAGTTTTCCCCCCCCCCCCGGCTATTTTGCTGAAATCACAACATGTTTCTAGTAATGGTAACAAGTACCATCAGTCAGGACTAAATGTTGTGATTAGTCACTTTGTTGAGTGATTGCTGTTGTGGGTCTACAGACCACCTTGGTTAGTTTTACAAACTTTTGGATTGAATGAAATAAGGTGCAAGTTTTAGTGAGCATTCATGAAAACTGTAAATGTTCCTTGATCTCTGACGTCTTTGTGAAAAATAATGTGCTTCCCTAATAGGCATGATTTCAAAGTTGTGGTTGATCCTGCTTAGATTTAGGAGTTGATACACACCTTTGAAGAAAAAGGACCCTACACTGAGGAGATTTTGTGTAGTGATGGTTCAGTTTGTCAAATTAATAAATGCCTTTGTGGTGAATGATATTTATGTGTTGGTTTTTTGTTTTCCAGATTCTTCCAAACTTGGCACCGTAGACTCCTCGTCGGACAAGGACAAGGTAAGTGGTCAACTCTTCACTTTTGTGTGCTAGTCTACTCTCTCTTTCCTTCTCCCATGTATTGTGTCAGACCATAAGATTTGGATATGTTCGGGTAGTTTTATCATGAATGAGCCATGTCTCGGCTTCCCCGGTCAGACTAGATATTATTAATGAAATTTTATACATTGCAGAGAATGTTGTGCTGATTTCTCATTTGTTACATGCAAACTATGATTCATGTGCACATTCTGAAATATAAACCCTTCACTTATGAACACTAATCCTATTTCAAATCTTTTGTAAAAGGAGCATGTTTAATTTCATTACTATCACTACCATTAAATTGTCAGAGTAGTAGGATTTTATTTGCTGCTGGAATATAAGTGGTTACTTCATGTGCATACATCTTAAATGAAGTTATTTTCGTAGACCTATAGTTACCTGCATTTTAGTAACATAATACATGTCTTCTTTTGTTATTCATAGTAATGAATCCATAGTACCTTTTTAGGAAACCTTGGCATTAAGATGTCCATGATTATCAACATGTCTAAATATTTATGAAATGTCAACCCTAGTTTTTACTCATCAGTTTAATGCATATATCATGTGTGTGACGAGTATGTAATCTTCTGGCTTGATAAGGAAGCTAATATACAAGATGGTTGGCATGTTCATGGCATGTAGATAGCAGGTACTCTATGTACAAATATTGAATGTCTAGGCCATTAGCAAGGTTTGTTCAGCAGGCTGGGTGTACATAGTAAGTCAGGTATTCAGGGTGTACAGATGTAGAATATGGTCTGCCTGCTTGTGTGTGTGCCTAGCGATAGACAAACGACAAGTCCTGACTGTTCATTTCCTCAGTCACTCACTGTACGTCTCATGTTGAGTCTTGTATTGTTGTTAGCTGTCATCAGGGTTAATGTCAGTGGAGGACTGGACAAGTTTGCCAAACTTTTAACGATGTATTCATATATATACCTGACTTGTTTTATTGATCATAAAGGCCTACCCTCCATTGAATTTCTTTGGCTTAAGGATAGTTTGATAAACTAAAATGTCTCTTTAAAAGTATTGTGATAAATATTTTACATTCAAATAACTATAAAAAGAGAGAGAATATGTGAAAGACATTTTGTGCAGATTGAATGGTTTCCATTTTTATTTCAAGCAATTTGAGCAAGAATGCTATTTGAATGTTCTAGGTGAACTGTACCTACGTTACTTGAGCACAGTTTTTGTATCCTATATATGGATTGCAGGAAAACCAGTTAACACCACAGTGCAAGTCTGTTAACTACTTCTGTGTCGTAGTAATCTCTCACAATTTATGCTTGTTGTAAAACTGTTGACGAAAGGAGCGAACATGTTGGCCTACAGTCATGTATTTGTGCAAAGTGTGTATGCAGTGACTGAGGTTGAAAAAAAGGGTCAGTGGGTTTGGGAATTGCAGGAGAGGTTTTCAGTGAGTCATTTGAAAGGTTTGATCAGACATTTATTGAGCAGATTTCTTTGCAAGGTCTCTTGTCCATGAAATATGGCAGATTGTTTGGGGTTCACAGTCAGTATGTAGAAATTAAGACTGCAGTATATCTGACACATTTGGAGGGTGTACTGGTTTGTAGGTGAAATTATCAAATATTTTACAGTCAGTTTGGCTAGATTCTAAAGATTGACAAGATAGTTAGTGTCAGTGTCTTGAAATCTCTTTGTATTAGAAGTTTATAGCACTCTGAATCTTTCCACTAACATGTTCATCATACTAACAACGTCTATATCCAGGTTTCTTATATACAGTCAACACATCTACAACTACGTTCAGGTCGCACTGACCTCAACACTACCCACAATCCCCCCCTCTCCTCTGCTGCACCCACAGCTAACATCAAGTCACGTGCCCGGGCGCTGGTGGAGCGGGTATCGCAGTCTAACAAACCGCATGTCTCTACGGTATACCTTTCTTCTTCAAATTTGTATTATATTTCTCCTTCATTTATTTAAAAAAAAATTGTTTTTGTCATTAAAAAATTATGAAGTAAACATATATGTTTATCTCACCTGACTGAAAGTCATGTTGAGCTATAGCTGTGGTGCTTTGTCCGAACCCCATCCAGTTCTTAACTTTGCCATTTTATACATCTTTCTGAAACAGAAGGTGTATTAAAAATGGAATCTTGTTTAAAACTCTCTAACAGAATTTGTATCTAATTTTAAACATGGCCACCATGGTGCCTGTGCTAAAACTTGGTCATTCTGCATGTGTCATGAAATTTGATAGTAAACAACTATGTGTTATTTCGGGAAAACATGATGTTTGGGGCAAATCTGTTTTATTCAGTTACGTTTTGGCTTTTATCTACCCCATTTTACTTGTGCAGTTACATTTTCAACATCTCTATAACTTGGAGGCCTACGATGCCGAAGCTTTGTGTGATTGATCCCTGGTATAGAGTTACTAATAATTCTCATGGATATCAGATCCAATTTTAAACATGGCGGCTATGTTTTGGAAACTGTTAATGGCCATGTTTTTTCAACGTATTTAAATTTGGCTTACAGGTAGTTTGTAGTGGGGTCTGGTATGTATGCAGTAGTATTCGTGTTGACCTTGATTCCCCAATATTGCATTATAGTGGGTTACACCAAAGCGAAAATTCCATTATTGGCAACCCCAAAAAGTAAATAAAAAATTGTAAAACCATATTACCATAAACCAGCTTGCAAGCATATTTCATTAAATAATCTCTATCTACCTGGGATCAAAATTGCAGTATGTAGTTTTTTTGCATGTGGTTGCTTTTGGAATAAACATGTCTTTGAAAACAAGTGATTTGTGAAACACAGGAATCGGCTTTCACTAGGATAGTCCAGGCAGAGTTCCACAATCATACATCTTTTCATGTTTCAGAAAATAGCAAAATTAGTTTAATCAAACCCAAACTATTAACAGACAGGCCAGTACCAATTTAGTAAGTGTGTCAGCTGCGTCTTGGCTGGTCAGAACCGCCATTGCTTTGGCCAGCCTTTCGAAACACTTCAAAAGTGGTTTCTTTATTTTGATGGACTACTTGAAATGTGCATCACTCGGTCATTCTTTGTAATACTGACACTGACCTTTGCAGTGGAAGGAGCTTTGCTTTTCGAGCATGTTCCCATATATATTCTTATCTTGTTTGAACGATTTTGTCATGCAAGTTTATTCTTGCATATATTTTCTTAATTCACTATAGATATTTGTAACAAAAAAAATTGTTGAAAAGAAATGTTATCAAATTATTACTTCATGAGTCAGGTGAGCTACAGAGCCTTGTGGCTCAATTTCTATGTAAGTTTAGATTTGAACGATTTATATTTTATGTGACATCCCAAAGTAAGTGGTGCAATGTTAGATACATTTTCTGTTATAGAAAGTGTAGAACTTCATTGAATCTTTATGAATGTATTGTTTATGTTTTGTTATGCCTTTTTTCTCCCTGTCCTTGCACCACATATTTTGTAATTAGTACTGGTAATAGTTTTGAGTGATGTAGTGAAGTTGAGATTTCGTGTTATCTACCTTGTTAGCATGTCGTGTTTGAGCATGTATTTTCATTGGAAGCACAGACTTATTCAAACATAATGAAGATGCTTTGAAATAGGATAAACTGAATTCAGGTTTGAAATAAATGCTTAAAGTAAATGTTTTGAAATATATTTTTTTAATTACAAATAGTATTGACATTGATTTAACATGTTTATGAAATTGGATGTTTTCTAAATAGGGTCCAAGTTCTATCACAATCAGCCACACTGGAAGAGAAGAAGGAAAGAAAAGATTGAAGGAGACTACGTCTGATGATTCCACCTCACATCTTATACGTCCATTGTCTCACAAGAAGGATATATCTTCTCTGATACAGAGGTTTTCCAATTCTGATGCATCCAGTTCTGAAAAGTCTGACACAGAAACAAATATATCAAGGAGACGTGTGTTACCTATACGTAGGCAGGACCCTGTCGTGATAAGCAGCAGCCCCAGTGATGAGTCTAATACCGAGAGTTCAAGACGTACACCTGAACGTACGCAGAGTCTACGCATACATGGCTCAACCGAGACCACGGACAGTAAAGTTCAAAGGACAGGTAGTTTCAAATCAGATTTCATGCGTAGAAGGTTTAGTGGTGACACTGATAAACCAACCCCAGAACTGGCCGATGTTCTGGGGAAACGTAGCAATATTGTTGAAAAGCAAGAAGAGGAAGACCGAGTGAGAAATGCTGCGAAAACACCATCAAAGTACGAGAAGGCCGATACATGGAAGGCAGCTGAGGTGGAGGAGGTCATTGCTGATGGTGAAGTAGCTGCTGTCTTGAAAGCAAGGCGAAAGCAGACTGATTCACTGTCTGACAATGAAACAAAAGAACAGGATAATGATTCATGTAATTCATCAAACATATCGGAGACAAAAACCAGTTTAAAAACTCTTGATTCCTCTCTAGCACTATTAAACAGGGTCACAGAAGAGTTGGATAGTCCTGCAGCCCTGTCATCAGACTCAGAAATACTGGCACCTGTTCCACTCGTTTTACAACGCAAAAGGTCAAGTCAGGAATCAATCTCAGAGGCAGAACAGCTGATTAAAAGTGTTGAATCCTCCATCACATCACGCACATCAGCTACCATATCAGGCACCTCTGTCACAAAGGGAGATAACTCTAAAGAGCACAATGTCAGCAGACAAACCACCAGTGATTTTACAACTGAAAGCAAGATAAGGGGAAGTTCTGACAATGTGGGAGATACTGGAGATGTTTCCATTACGCACACCACTCACAGACGTGCAGGCAAGTTGGACCGTGAGGAAGCAGACTATGTCATGCCTCTGGATGAGAAATGGGTTACAGATAGAAAGAGAAAAGATAAACATGATCAAAGTTCCATCTCACCTTCTAAATCATATCATGGTGATACAGATAGTGGTAAGACAAATAGAGACATCATTGGTGGAACCGAGGAGTTAACAGAAATTAGGGAAAGTGCCAAGAAATCATCTAATGAACTCGACCCCATTACCAGCAAAAGTGTGGATTCTTTGAGGATTGACACTGGGCAGGACGCGTCCTCTGATAGGTATTCTTCATCCAGTCTACGCAGAGCGGAATCTCTTAAGGATACCTCCATCAAGAGGACAGATTCATTGGAACGCAGGAAAGGTATTTTGAAGCGCACTCCATCCCTACCGAAACAGCCAGCTCGACCAATTGTAGACCCTGAACTTGCAGAGAGGTTACGGAGACAGCGAGAAAAGGAGAATGACTTGTCAGATGAAGATGAGCATAAACGTACATGCATGTCAGTTATTGAGGATATACAGGAAGTTCAAAGGTGAGGAATTATGCTTTATAGCAGTATTTTAGTTGCATAAATAGAATGATATTATGTCACTGTTTCATCAAAGTTAACATTTACCTTTATGAGATACTCTCACTGTTGCATAAGGAAAGTGTAGAAATATTTTCAACAAAATGGTTTTCATAAGAGAAAGAAATCTGTTAATTCTTTCTGATGAAAGGATGATAAAAACTTGCAACAGTCCTCAAGTCCTTGCCAAACTCCCAAAGGCTCAAATATTTCAAGAAATGCCCTTTTGATATAAATTATCATTGTAATTAGGGCTTTGACATAAATTATCATTATAAGGACTAGTGAACTAATACTAATATGTCCCTGAGAGACTGGCAGTGTGGGAGTTATGTTTTTTCAGAAAATAGAACTGCTGGAAATACTGAGAAGACAAAAACAGCAAACAAACCTACTTATTACTTTTGGTTTCAACAACAACAACAAACAGCTTTGTGTAAACTGCATTTAGTAGGTTGTTGTCTGCTGGTCTGAAACCCCTAGTTACACTTGTCTTATTTGGACATCAGCACACTGGGTAGGAAGTCTTGTTACAGTGTGTTATTGTGTGTGATATGAAGTAATCACATCTGACACTTAAGACTCCCAGATACCTGGCCTTGTGGAATGGATATGGTCTGTGGTTACTGGAATCCATGACACACCACATGTTCAATCTGCAGTACATGGTAGTCACAACTTGCTTGACTATAAATACTGTACAAGAATGTGGAAATACGATGCCAGCACCATCAAGTGCAGCACACCAAGTACGTGTCCTGTGGTGCATGCTGCCCCTGTATATCAACACAGACTGTAGAACCAAGGTAGGGAGGGATCACTGGAGGTTGGGAGGGAGCTGGGAGCATGCTCCAGAGAGGGCACCAGCAAGGGGAGGAGGGAGATGTACATGTCTAATACTGTATGGGGATGCAGGTGTGTGAGTGTACGTGTGTATTAGTGTTCTCCCAGTCCTCTATCAACACTATCATTAACATGTATTCAATTTTTTTTTCAAGTTTCTTGTGTTCATATGTCCTCTTCAATGATTACATGCCTTAAGAGATTTTTTTAAACCTAATTTTTTTTCTTAATCTTACTCTGAGATGCTTGATAACTGGGTTGGTGGATATATGTCTGTATCCTTTCATGATGATGACATGTGCTGCCTGGAAGAGATATAGCTTATGTTTTGCTCAGGCTCTCCCAGTGAGAGTGGAGGGTTTATTAGCCATGGTTGAGTTATTGTCTAATCACTTCCATACCTTCACCTTACAGCAGTGCTAGTAGGGCAGAGTTTATCTGTGTGCAAGGTGAGGGATGGGATTCCACCTACATCATGTAGAGTCTTGGGGAGACAATAAATACACTAGACTATAGGGAGTGAAATCACTGTTGAATTGTGCACAAATGGCTTGTTAGCAATTGAACCTTGTGTCACAAGGTAGGTATTTTTAACTCATTAGGTCCTAAAGTGACATTATGAATATTTTGATATTGTATAGCCAAAAGCCTTGAAATATTTTCCTGATATTGTCAGTTTTATGCCTTATAGTACTGTTTCGAGTAAATGGTAAGATAGTATTATGTACAACTCACTTCCTTCTCATAGTCTGTCTAAATATTACTTGGAGAGGTGGTGGGTATGTCGGGATAGTACGGGTTGGTGACCTGTGTGAGTCTACACAATACCTGTACCTGAGCACAGTCTGTGTCAACATAGAACTTGGGTGGGTGACCTGTCTGTGTCTAGAGGGTATTTGGGTGTGTAACCCATCTGTGTCTGAAAGGCTTTTGGGTGGGTGACCCATCTATGTCTAGAGGGTATTTGGGTGGGTGACCTGTCTGTCTAGAGGGTACCTATCAGTGTCTAGAGGATACCTGTCTGTGTCTAGAGGATACCTGTGCCTGTCTACGTCTAGAGGGTATTTGGGTGGGTGATCTGTCTGTGTCTAGAGGATACCTGTCTGTGTCTAGAGGGTACCTGTCTGTGTCTAGAGGGTACCTGTCTACGTCTAGAGGGTATTTGGGTGGGTGATCTGTCTGTGTCAAGGGTTTAGCTAAGGGTACTTAGGTGGGTGACAATTTGTTTTGATAATCTCTATCATTGGTCGGCTTGGTATACTCAAAACAGTGCTGTAGGTGTCCATGACTGTATTAGTTAAGAGTAAGATGTTAACGGTAGGCAGGACACATACTGTAAGTGATAATTTGAATCTTCTTTACATGAACAGTGATGGATTTACAGGAGTAAATGTATTCCAGTGTGACTAAAGGACTCAATTAAGTTCATAAATAAGGCAACTTTCCTTTCTATACCGGAACATTAATTAGCACAGGTTACCTATTCATGTTCCTTGCATTTAAAGTGAAGATCCAGACTTACTGGGAGAGAGACATTTAGACTCCAAGTGTCCAAGTTCCATTTTGATTATCAACTGTATGACCATTCATTTTAAATAGCGTGGAGAGCTCTGCAATCCATATTGACCTACCACAGTATTCAATAAACGTATTAAAAAAATTTCTTCTAGGACTCCCAACTCAAATGGTTAAACCAAACAACTCAGAACAAAAAGCCTCAGTGTTCATATGTATTCTTCACAGAAATGCGTGAAGAATTGACAGACCTTGTTTGACAGAATATTATTCTGACAAACATGGCCTTTGTCGGAGGTATGTTGAAAGCTCTGTAAATGCACAATTGCATGCATGTGTATATACAGTGTGCAGATAGACACCCAGCAAAGGCAAAATGTTTTGTGATACTAACAGTGCATTCAAATACTCTTCAGTAATCTTTGTTTGTTGTTCAGCTTTATTACGACGAAGCCCATTTCAGTCATGGAGTTTTGTAAAGAAGTTAAAGACTGCTAGAGGACACTTGTGTTATATATGTGGAAACCCACATACTTTCTGTGTTGCACTGACTGGGCCAAAAGTTGGCCTTGAACACGTGGATGTTTACAATGAAGGATCATACCTTTTAAATAACACTTTGTTTAATGATAATGTTGTCCTGTTGACCTGATTCCTTTCTTTCTGTTTTGGATATTCAAAGTATTCACTTTCAAATTTCAGGTTCTAAAAATAAAATAATTTTCATTTTGGAAATGTTTTAAGTTATTCATGGATATGAAATAAATGAAAAATCCAATTCCCTTTAAAGCAGACAAACATGAAAGAATGAAAAATGGGGATATTGTTTTCAAATAATTGTTCATGCAATTTTTGTTGGAGTTTGGAGGCAATTTTTGGAAGTAACAAACGATAATGCAACTACCCTGGTTTTCAAGTTTAGTTTCCATCGAGCTGTTAAGCTTCACACTGATATGTGTTGGCCAAGAGGAGATTTGAATCACTTACAAGATAAGGCAATATTGGCCTTATCTCCAGAATTTGTCTACCACCTCAGCTTGTGAAGTATTTATCCATGAGGCTCAACTAACGACCTATGCTGTAAGGGGAGATAATTCTGTTTACAAAGATGATTTGGTGGTAGAGTGCATGTTTAAGATAATGTAGGACAGTTGGCAAATGAAAACATTTCTAATACTTTCATGAAGAAATTTGAATGATAGACATAGGTCTGTTGTGTAGACTGATATGTGTATTAAGTGAAATCATTTATGTCTGTGTAGTGTAATTATTTTAGTGGATTAATGTTTGGGTATTAGAGTAAGAGTAAGGCAACTACCTTAGGCAGTACATAAACAAAATCAGTTTTCCCAACACAGATTGGAATTTGTATTTGTTTCTGTGATTGTAAATTACTTTGTTTGCTATGTCACATCAGAGTATAGAATATAAGTTATCTGCGGACAGTAACAGAAAAGACATTGTGTGTGTTGCAGGAGGGAGAAGAAGGCTGAGGGTTCAGATGACAGCGACGGGGATGGAGGAGTAAAGTTGTCGGTCTTTGAGAGGATTTCCCAAATGGAGAATAAACTAGAAGAGGAGAAGTTCGGCTCAGCAAGGTCAAGGTCAGGCTTCACAACACCTAAGTCTGCGCAAATATCATGGTAAGAATATCAAACAAGCATTGTCTGTAGTAATGTCCTTCATGTACATTTCCAAAAGTAACGTAGATAAAAGACACTTGATCCTGTGACTTGTCTTTTGTATAATGCTCATGAACAGTCAGACGTCCTGATCGATTTACCAAAAAGTTTATGATAATGCTGTGATTGTGAAATTATTGTAATGTAATATTTTGTCTATAACATTTTCATGGGCAGCAGTTGATTATTAGCAAGTATGTTAAATGAAATTGTTTTGTAAATACAATAATATGCACTTATTGTGTTTTTATTTCAAGGATGGAGAAATCTCGATCAGAGTCCAGCTTTGACTCTGGTTCCAGTCATCGACTAGTGTCTGGAGAACAGCTGATGGAGAAACTTAATGTGCTAGCAGAACAGACAGATGTCATTGACCTTGCTGGCAGCAAACCAATCAGTGAGAGACGACAACAATTCCAGCGCCGTAACCGTGACGATTGGAGGACAAGAACACAACCAGTCACCATTGAGGAAATTCATGCTGCAGACAAGTTAGTGAATGTTCTGAAGTTTTCCCTTTCTTCTGGGTTTAAGTTTGACATATTCAGATTTGGTTAAATAACACCATATGTATTTTTAACAGTTTTTATCTGTGAAATGGGTATGAAGATTGAAAAAATTGACACTTGAACTTTTGCTTTACTTGGAGATGCAGCTGAATTCAGCTCTTTATGACAACTATTTTGTTTTGCTTTCTTAATGTTGGTGATGGGAAAGTGCTTTTAATGTCATTCTTTTCTTTACCTGTTTCTTTTGAAATTGATGTTGTTTCAAACTTCCTTTCCTTTCTCAACTACTGAAAATGGTCAAAATGACAATAGATGTTGCACACTAAACCAGTGATAGAATTTAGAGTAGAATATGAGCCGTTAATCAGTGAAATAAATCCACATGGACTACCTGGGATCAATTCAGCAGTTGATTAGGTCAGAGACTCATTTGTAGTTATTCCTTAAGTGAAATCTATACGTATATAGTTTTGAAAGACACAAGTGATCTGAAAACATGCAGAACAGTGTGATGTAGAGACCTGTCGTATGGGACTGAAGTTACCAAACTTTTGGGTGTTTGAACACCCTCCATTTCTATTGTTGAAACATAAGACATGCAGTACTGGTGAAGTTTGTGAGAACAGCCAGAGATGTCACATTGTCAGATTTGGTTAGATTTGGGATTTTCGCTAAAGAATGCAAAACTCTAAAGATGCTTGCCAAAACTTTGAGATGGAATATGTATACAGGCATGTAACATTACCTGAAACAAGCCCTAGTCAGGATAGTGATAACATGTACAGATACCCCCTAAAACAAGCCCTAGTCAGGATAGTGATAACATGTACAGATACCCCCTAAAACAAGCCCTAGTCAGGATAGTGATAACATGTACAGATACCCCCTAAAACAAGCCCTAGTCAGGATAGTGATAACATGTACAGATACCCCCTAAAACAAGCCCTAGTCAGGATAGTGATAACATGTACAGATACCCCCTAAAACAAGATACCCCCAAGCCCTAGTCAGGATAGTGATAACATGTACAGATACCCCCTAAAACAAGCCCTAGTCAGGATAGTGATAACATGTACAGATACCCCCTAAAACAAGCCCTAGTCAGGATAGTGATAACATGTACAGATAACAGTGTACAGACAGATACCCCTAAAACAAGCCCTAGTCAGGATATAGATAACATGTACAGATACCCCCTAAAACCCCCTAAAACAAGCCCTAGTCAGGATAGTGATAACATGTACAGATACCCCTAAAACAAGCCCTAGTCAGGATAGTGATAACATGTACAGATACCCCCTAAAACAAGCCCTAGTCAGGATAGTGATAACATGTACAGATACCCCCTAAAACAAGCCCTAGTCAGGATAGTGATAACATGTACAGATACCCCCTAAAACAAGCCCTAGTCAGGATAGTGATAACATGTACAGATACCCCCTGAAACAAGCCCTAGTCAGGATAGTGATAACATGTACAGATACCCCCTGAAACAAGCCCTAGTCAGGATAGTGATAACATGTACAGATACCCCCTAAAACAAGCCCTAGTCAGGATAGTGATAACATGTACAGATACCCCTAAAACAAGCCCTAGTCAGGATAGTGATAACATGTACAGATACCCCTGAAACAAGCCCTAGTCAGGATAGTGATAACATGTACAGATACCCCCTGAAACAAGCCCTAGTCAGGATAGTGATAACATGGATGATAGCCCTAGTCAGGATAGTGATAACATGTACGGATACCCCTGAAACAAGCCCTAGTCAGGATAGTGATAACATGTACATAGGATACCCCCTAAAACAAGCCCTAGTCAGGATAGTGATAACATGTACAGATACCCCTAAAACAAGCCCTAGTCAGGATAGTGATAACATGTACAGATACCCCCTAAAACAAGCCCTAGTCAGGATAGTGATAACATGTACAGATACCCCCTAAAACAAGCCCTAGTCAGGATAGTGATAACATGTACAGATACCCCCTAAAACAAGCCCTAGTCAGGATAGTGATAACATGTACAGATACCCCCTAAAACAAGCCCTAGTCAGGATAGTGATAACATGTACAGATACCCCCTAAAACAAGCCCTAGTCAGGATAGTGATAACATGTACAGATACCCCCTAAAACAAGCCCTAGTCAGGATAGTGATAACATGTACAGATACCCCCTAAAATATTACTTGCCATCACACTGATTTGAGCTGCTGCCCTTTTGCATTCATGGTGTAGGCAACATCCAAATTTCCGTCCACCTCTGATATATACAGGGCATCAGTGTTAAGGACCTGGTAGCTTGATGTTCAGGATGCGAATCATGTCTCCTTTCAGTTTGGAGACAGTGAGTGCCTTCCGTTCGCTTATTCGTAAAAAGACTACCATCAATGCATACAATCAGATGCGAGACGTTAATAAAAAAATAAGTCCTGTTGGGAAGAAATGTGAATTTCCTCAGCACATATCACCTGATAAAAACAAGCGTCGGACTCGAAACCAAAGGCACAAAACTACACCTGTCACAGCAGCAGAACTTAGTGCCATTCCAGAAGGTGAGACAATGGAGGGAGATAGGTCAAAGATGGGTCACGGAAACCGGGATTCCACTACAGACTCAGGAATCTTGTCTGATGCTGACAGCCTGCTTGGAAGAAACTCCTCGGAGAATTTACGTAGTTTGACACTGGAGATGGACCTGAATGAAGATGATCCAGCTAGAGGAACCGTTTCGTCCAAAATGTCCATGTTTAAGGCAATGGAAGAGAGGTCTAAAGCAGAAAAGGATAAAGCAAAATCTGCCAGTGGTGCCAAAAGATATATTGACCGGAAAAAACGAGAACGGTCTCGAACCCAACCTGTAACAGAAGATGAAGTCAAAACGGCAGCTGAGATCTCAGATCCTGCAGAGGAGAAGAAACCAGAGGTGAACATTCCAAGACCTCGAGTAATCTCCAGGGCAAAGTCAGTTGAACCAGGGGAAAGCTGTGTTGAAGAAGAGGATGAGCTTGTTGGGTAAGAGACTTAGCCCCACCTCATCCTCACCTAAGTCTCCAGCCTCAAAATTAACACTATCACTACAGAATGCCAACTAGTGAAAGGGTTAATTTTGTAATTGCCTGTTAGCAATCCCAATCTGTTTGTCAGCACCTTAGTGGGAGTCATGTCCCCTTTTACAATCCCTGACGTTAACATTAAGTGCTTCTGGTGTGGTGACTAACTGTGAGTAGTTTTAACACTGTGTGACACTTTGTGTGAAACTGCACTGAGCTCCTGTAGACATCATCCAGTACTAACAACAAGTCATTCACGAACCATATACTAACATTGTAGGTATCCTCACAATGCACTGGTCCTGGATCGCAGTCTCTAGTTTTACATAGAAACACAGTAGATAGGTGCCATTAGTAGGACTAGATGAAAGCAAACATGTTGATGTCATAATACAGCACAAGAACTGAGAGCATTGTTAAGTTAGGAGCAGTTGTTCATCATACACATTTTAGTAGATTATGGGACAATTGGCTGGAAAGAATTTGAACCGATGTTGTCTTTTGCTGATATGGACAACATTCTTTTTTTGACACTGCACAAAATATATACATGGAAGAATAGTTTCGTTGGCAGAAATGATTGAACTGTATCCTGTAGGTTCATATGTGGCAATCCAGTAAAGAGAAACTGTGTTATGCATTGCTGCACATCATTGTTACATAATAACTAGTTCAGTATTTATTCTAGAATGGCATGCCTATCATTTTATGTTTGTGTACCTTTACTTTCTTTTCTTATTCATTCATGCATGGTTTTGATCGGCCATTGTGGTTGCATGTTCTTAACTTCATTGATGACACTGATCTCTCTCTATATATTTAGCTCAGTCAGGGTTACTTCCCTTTAACCGTGAGGCTTGACTGATGCAGTACTGAATTGTACACAGGGTGCAATTGGCCATTGGAAATAGGGATTAAAAGCATCAAGTCCAGTTCAATTAAACATGGAAGGGGTGTTTTCTTGTAGTAGCCATGGAGAAGTCAGGCAACAGAAATACATTCCTACTGATTTGATGGTATGGCTTTTTGGCTCCAGTCTGTGAAATCCATGAACCGAAAAGGAGAACATGTAAAGTAACATCTAACCACATCAATCATACTTGAGGTACTGAGTATCGCTGAGAAGTATGAAATGTGACTACCTTCTGTATGAAAGTTATTGTTATATTGATATATTCTGATGCATTTTAGTTTAGAAAGGAAGTGAATTGATGTTTCAGTATTAAAACAGTGTTTTCCATATTAGTAACTGAAACGTATCTGCACAGCAAACTCGAAATCATTTTTCTGCATGAGTGAAGTCATTCTATAACCCCCCTTGATGTTAATTGTGAAAGACTCCATAGCTTCAGTCAGTCAGATAGACAGGTAGTGTGTGGTGGTCAGAATATTTCAGGCCAGTGAGACAGTGGTATGGTTGAGTGACCTGATAGTAAAACATGCCAGTATATATGGATGGGTAGCTCCTGATACTTGACTGATGGGAGGACAGGGAGGCCCTACACACAATCAAACTGTGCCTTATCTTGTGTTTAAATCCAGCAAACTTAATAAATATATAGAATGTAGAAATGTCCAAATACAATATCCTGTTGGTTGGCTAGTGACTCCATAAGGTATTTTGATGTGTATTTTTATGAAATAGAAAAGAAAAGAAATTGCTTTTGTCTTGTGTAGGAAAAGCATAATTTGGAGTTTGGCAGATACACATTTGAGCATTAGTTATGCTTTGAGAGAGAAAAAGACCAGTAATACGGGAAAGAATTCTGCCAACTAATACATTATTTTAGGTTTTTCAAGTCTTTTAAATGCAAGGAAGGAGTTGAAATAAGTTTGAATTGATTTTTGATCTATGATTGTTGCCAGAAGTGAGTAATATTTCTGAAGAAGTAGTTACGAATTTTGACTATAAAAACTGCTTGAATAGCCCTTCAACTTTGTTTCTAAAGGTCTGTATGAATCCTGCATGGGCATTAAGTGTTGTCGATATGATTTGATAGTATGAGTATGTCTTGGACATTCTAATCACCACATGATCTAATGTTGAGCATGTAAATGGAACTTCCATCTTGTAATTCTTGCAAGATGTTGTTTCTTACACTGACCATGAAAAGTGACCGAGAGAGTGGGTCACCCTGTAGAGAGCCTCTATTCAGTCCCATTCTGTATATCAGGCTCAGCTTGGCCGAAAAAGTGAAACTCTTCACCCAGAAGAAAGAAGAAAAACCTCTGGCTCGTTCAGATGCCCCTGTCCCAAGGAGACGAGCTCGCAAAAACATCTCCAGATACAGCACTCAGGTAAATAATTTAATCATGATTTTTTGACAATATTGAGTTTGTTTTGTTTTTCATGTAACCAAATGTATTTATATAGGCAGGAAATTTAGCATGTGTGTACATATGACAAATGTTCACCCTTAACTGGTGATACAAAACCAGATTTGTCAGACATGTTCATGTGAAAAATAGGGCTGTTATCTTATATCAGCTGTCTCCAGGTATTGACAGACAGTCCTTAGATAACGTCAGTCTACCCTGGGGTGTGGTCAGGGCTGCACACCCCTGTAATGTTGTGGTAGAAGATTACATTTGGTATTAGAGGTGACATGCAGGACGGGATCTCAGGTCCAGGGTTGCTATAGCTCACTAGAGGATTGGTAACAATCCTAATCTCATCTATATGGAAGTCAAATTGTCATTCATTCAACAGGGGCGTCATATCTTTGAAGATTAATTTTGTAAAATGAAGGTGATTTGAAATTTGATTTGAAATTCATTCAGGTTTCTTGGTGGTAGATGGTTGGGTAGTTTCTATATTTCTGCAGTTATTTGCTTGATTAGTTCAAGCAATTGGAGTGTGTGTTTGGGAAGTTGTTGTATTGCTTTGATGTGTGTTTATTGTTGCGGTTAGAGTGTATCGGATTTCTGCCATTGACACAGTTGTGATATCAAGCAAGGAAACAGATAATATTATACCTGAAGCTGCATATCTATTACCTCTGCACTTGATATGGAAAAAAAATACTTGCCTTTACTTCCTGGTTTTGTCGATGTTGTTGAAAGCAGCGGCTATGCAGATATTCGTGCTCTCCTAGCAGGTGACATTTATTTCAGCTTATATTCTTGTCTTCCGTAGGTGATTACGTGTTTGGTAATGGTTGTATTTGGCAAAATGTGAGGCCTTTTGATGTAGTGTTGTAAGAATTTGTGTGATATGTGAGCTTGTACCCATGCTAGTCATGACTAGTGCAGGGATGAGTGTGTCTAGGTTCTGGTTCTAGATCGCTGCTTTATGACTTTATGACTGGTCTGGCACAACAAATGGTATAATTTGTTGACTGTTTGTTGCCCTGTTATGCTGCTAAACAGCTTAAACGTACATGTGGATTGGAACAATGGCAGTCTATAATTGAGTCTGTCTCACAGTCCCTGAACCACATTATTTTCCCCACTGCCAAGCCCTATCTGCAGTGCTAAAGCCCTAAATAAAGCAAGTCTTAGATTTCCTCAGGTTCTGAATCTCTGGTCTCCCTAGGGCTCCTTTTCAATATAAATGGGCTTGTTTGTTACTATCAAAATTATGATATATTCAGAGACTAAGCCATGGTCTATCTATAATTAGCAGGGCCCTGTTCCTCAAAGCGATTGTAGCGCTACGACAGTCGTAAGTCTATATGAAAGTATGGGAGTTACGATCATCTTAATGCTACTATCGCTTTGTGGAATGGGACCCAAGTTTCTTCAGCTGATTTAGACCTGTATGTTTCACCAGTTAGAGAAGCTGTTGTTATCAGGACAAGTTAATCATATGGAGGAATGTGAAAGTGTTGGCCCCAGTGAAATCACTGCTAGGGGATGATGGAGGGTAACTTTATATGGGGGGTTAAAATTGAGTCAATATTGGATGAATATTCAACCATATTGAAGTTTAGAAGGTTCATTCAGGCAGCTGGAATTACTGTAAGATCAAGGCACATGGTGTGTAATGTAGATCGCTTCAGGATATAAGTTGTCTGTGTACATTAGTGGTATATGTCACAAAGGTTCATAACCATGAATATGATCATGTCGAAGGCACTTCCTTTTATTTGCCTTAATAACACATATATTTCAATGTTATTAAGGTTAATTTTTAAACTTATCCTATCTCACGGTATGCATCACTCTTCTTCTTCTTCGACCATGTGTGGAAACGTGCTGTAGGCTAAGTTGAATCAAACTTTCTGGCCTCTGATCCCTGACCTCTGCCCCACTCCACAGCAGGACCTGTCAGTCATCTCAATAGGCGTGCAGACCGCTCTGATGATCACTTGACAGCCTGCCCTTGTCATTCTCTTTCTTGTCACCAACTGCTGTGGACGTGTGTTATGCTCTGTCTGCCACTCGTCTCTACTTTTTTATCATGAGGGAAGAAATTGGTCTTCTCAGTAGAGATAACACTGTGACAATTACAGAAGTTTTTGATTTTCCTGTCACTGATCCTCACACACTGTACGTTGATTGTATCGGATGGTGTGACAGGCCTCACCGTTGCTCTTATTGTGCCAATTTGGACAATGAAGCTTTCTCCGTTATCGTGGAATGGACACAAGACGAGTGGCAGACAGGGATCGTCGGAAGTTTTCCTAGGGTCTATCATCATCTCAACATTCGAAGTGAGATCGTCCGTACTAAACAGCTCGCCGTTTATCACCATCACCGGACGAAGATTTCTCGATGCAGCATCGGATTCCTAACTCAGCGAGAATTACGTTGGGTATTCCGACCCAGACTTCGAGTCCAGTGTCAGGACAGGATGACTCCCCCTACTCGGCAGTGAACTTCATTCTTCGTTGTCACAGTTCCCGATTGACAATTCTACTGTAGTGACTTTTCTCAAACACCTGATACGGCATTGTCAGCGTTTACTGGCAATGTGTCTCTAATTAATGAATCGGCATTAAACTTACCTACAATGATTTATTGCAGTGCGCGCTTGTCCACAGCGATCCCTCCAACTCCAGTGATGATATCAAGTACAACAATCCCTGTTAGTTCGGCGTTTTCTGTCTAGTGCCTCGCTTTCATTCCGTGTTACGCTCCAGTGCATCGATTATGTATGGGTCGAGTGTACTCCAGTGCGTCGTTCTCACACAATTCGACGCTCCAGAGCTGATCTGCTGCAGTACGCTTCTGTTTGGTTCGTCACTGCAGGCCAGAGCGTCGGTTCAGTTCGGTACGGCACTTTGTACCAGAGCGTCGCTCTCACAAAGGGAGAAGAGGCCAGTTCTCCATTTCACTTCAGTTCACCGCTCTCGCTCATTAGCCCAGTGCGCTGCGCTGTTTTTGATTGGATCAACACTTCAGCTCAGCGTGCCTTTTCGATTGGATCAACGCTTTCGACCAGTGTTCCATTTTTGATTAGAACAACAATTCAACCTTGTGAACTGTTGTTTGATTTGCAGTCCAGTACACCATTACTGTATGGTACGACGTTTTAGACGAGTGCATCGGTCTCGATTGACTCAGCGCTTTAGATCACACTGCAGAACCGGATCACAGTACCGAACCAGATCACCTATACGATCCTGATCACCGAACCATACCAGATCGCCGCACCATACCAGATCGCCGCTCTAACAGTATTCGCCGATCCGATGACTGGTCGGACAATGCAGCAGTAGTTTGGCACATCAACCGGATGGGGTCGACAGGGTCTCCTCAACTCCTGCAGTGGACACAACGGTTCTTCCAGTTGGTGGACACTCTCAACATCTCTGTTCGAGCCAACCATATTCCAGGAGTGAAGAACGTCATTCGGGATTCTCTGTCCCGTCCGATTCGTCCCTCTCCGACAGGATGGAAGCTACATCCATAGGTGTTCCAGACTTTCTGCCTCCCGCTGACGACTTAGACAGTGGATCTATTCGCCACCCGTTTCAACCACCAGCTGCCTCTGTTTGTGTCTCCGATTCTGGACCCTGTTGCTTGGGGTCACGACGCTCTAGCCATCCCTGGGGACGACCAAAATGCGTACGCGTTTCCACCAGTGGCCCTACTTCCACGCATACTACTGAAACTCCGCCCAACTCGGCGGATGACACTGCTTTTGGTCGCGCCCTACTGGCCGGCCAGAAGTTGGTTCGTAGATCTACAAGAAATGGCCGATCCAGAGCCTGTACACCTTCCCGATCGTGTGGATCTCCTGGTTCATCCGCACTCCGATCAGCTGCTTTGGTCTCCGCTCACACTCCATCTTCACGTTTGGCGCATCTACATAAGTCGCTAACTGCTAAGGGATATTCTAAGCGAGTCGCTACTGCCATCACTACAGTGCATCGTACCTCCACTAAATCACTCTATGATGACCAGTGGAAGAATTTTGAAGCGTACTGCTGGACGAAGGGTATAGCATCTCCCACTATGGCGTCACTACAGATGGTTGCGGTGTACCTTCAACATCTTCGAACCTCCAGGAAGCTTAAGGGTTCTACACTGTCTACCTACCTGGCTGCTCTTAACACCGTTATTGCACAGACCTCGGGTGTGAAGGTATCTACAGTTCCTGAGCTCCAAACTCTCCTCGGATCTTTTAAACTTGTTGATCAGTCCTGTAAGTTCTGACCACCAGCTTGGGACCTTTCCGTCGTGCTTAATCATCTTACGTCAGCGGACTATGAACTTTTGGAGGACAAGGACTTTGAACATGTCTCCTTTAAGACCTTCTTTCTCACGGCTTTGGCTACTGCTGCCCGCATTTCGGAGCTACACGCCCCTCGACATTTCCCGGGTGAGTTTTGAGAGGTCAAGACACGCTAAAGTATTCCTTGGGTTGAGATGGGACTTTGTCGCCAAGAATCAACTCCCAGGTCAGCCGGACCGCACGTTTACGATCCTGCCGCTGTCCACTAAATTGGGTCCTGATGACGCGGAAGACCTTTCCCCGTTCCCAGTTCGGGCATTGCGGATATACCTGGCTGCTTCTAAGGAACAACGCAGGCTGCGCAAGAGACTCTTCATCCCGTTGTCTACTGCCTCTACCTCAGAAGTCTCGCGCACTAATTTGGCGTTCTGGATGAGATCCACTATCCTGCGTGCCTATACTTATGCAGACCTTCTTCCACCCTTGACGGCGAATCCTCAAGAGACCCCGGGCCTTAGCCTCTACCATGGCGCTCCATCGGAACTGCTCCAATACAGCCATCATGGAGGGATGCTTTTGGAGATCTTCGCCTCACACTATCTCAGAGATCTCAGTTACGGACGTGGAAGGTCTGCACCAGTTTGGTCCTTTGGTCCTGGCCCAGCAGCTGTCATCTCCCCGTGCTCGCAGATACGAAGTAATCCTTTCTTGCGTCGGTCTTGCTCTCTGTACCTAATAGAAGATATCGATGTCATCCACATCTTGGTACTGTTTTCGTTTGGGCATAGACCACCTCACCTAGGGAACTAGGGCGTGTCTGCACTGTCATAGATATGACTCAATAGACTGAGAGGCCAGTCTTGTGCTACATGCAGAGGTGGTCGACACTCCGCTTACTGACCTCTACTCTTCGAGCAATCACGTCAGTGAAGTGTTGATTTCAGATTACCTGCATGGTTTTCGAAGCGTTCTGCTCCTAAGTCCTTTCTCGCCTCTGGGAGGGAGATTGGTACTGAACGTTAAACAAGTTGAGCAACCGGGCTATTCCCTCTTCACCGTCTCCAGCGTGTGTCTGTTGGGGGTAGTTCCGAAGCAGGGACTGGCCAGATTAAGGTCTTCGACTTTAATTCACTGGGGTTACTTGATATATCGCGGGGAGGCGGGGTCTACTTGCCAAACTGCGTCCTTTTGCTTGTCAAAAGTTGCGGCTGAAAACCACATTAATTCGGGAACGCCCACTCGCTAGAGTTTTTGTGCTGTGTAAGCCAAGGGGTTATCCGAAGCAACCTATCACAAGTTCAGAGTTAGCATATCGGGAGTTGGTGCTTTCTCCTGGCGTCCTTGTGTTATGCGACCTCACGGTTGTAGAGTTGACACAGGGTAATCTGCGGCCCGCCTTCCAACCATGGGATAATGCATACCGTGAGATAGGATAAGTTTAAAAAATTGGAAATTTTAACATCAATTGTATATTTATATACTTATCCTATCTCACACGATGGATGCCCACCCGACCTACCCCACATCACAGATTACTGGAAGCTCCAAGACAAGAATGACAAGGGCAGGCTGTCAGGCGATCATCAGAGCGATCTGCACGCCCATTGAGATGATTGACAGGTCCTGCTATGGAGTGGGGCAGAGGTCAGGGGTCAGAGGCCAGAAAGTTTGATTCAACTTAGCCTACAGCACGTTTCCACACATGGTCGAAGAAGAAGAAGAGTGATGCATACCGTGAGATAGGATAAGTATATAAATATACAATTTATGTTAAAATTTCCAATACTGCGTTTTGTTATCCCATGTATGTCACCCTCAGTAAAACATCTCTGAATGTTACCCTCAGTAAAACGTTGCCATATAACATCAGAAAACCCATGACAGCATCAGCAAACCACCCTTGTATGACAACTCCTGTAAAACACCCCTTTATGACAGCATCAGTAACACACACCCACACCACACCCACACCCCAATGGCAGAATCAGAAAAACCCTCCTGTGACAGCATCAGTAAAACACCCTGTATGACAGCATCAATAAAACACCCCTGTATGACAGCATCAGTAAAACACCCCTGTATGAAAATCAGTAAACCCCTGTATGACAGCACTATTAAAACAGTATGACAGCATCACCCCTGTATGACAGCATCAGTAAACTGACAGCATCAGTAAACTACCCCTGTATGACAGCACTATTAAAACACCCCTGTATGACAGCATCAGTAAAACACCCTGTATGACAGCATCAATAAAACACCCCTGTATGACAGCATCAATAAAACACCCCCATCAGTAAACTACCCCTGTATGACAGCACATTAAAACACCCTGTATGAAGCACAGTAAAACACCCTGTATGACAGCATCACCCTCCTGTGAAACTAAAACACCCCTGTATGACAGCATCAGTAAACTAAACACCCCTGTATGACAGCACTATTAAAATGGCTGTGTATGACAGCATCAGTAAAACAACCCTGTTTGACAGAATCAGTATAACACCCCTGTATGACAGAATCAGTAAAACACCCCTGTATGACAGCATCACAAAACCCCTCCTGTGACAGCATCAGTAAAACACCCCTGTATGACAGCATCACAAAAACCCTCCTGTGACAGCATCAGTAAAACACCCCTGTATGACAGCATCAGTAAACTACCCCTGTATGACAGCATTAGTAAAACACCCCTGTATGACAGCATCAGTAAACTACCCCTGTATGACAGCATCAGTAAAACACCCCTGTACTTTGTCATCTCTGACATGTTAATAACAGTCTTCATTAGGCATCAGTAAGTTGTTTTGTGTTGCAGCCAGTGACAATAGAAGAGGTAGAGAAGGCTGCGTCACTGAACCGTGTGTCCCCTCTGGCAGCAAGTTTGATCAAGCCTCCAGATCCGGAAATCCTGAAGGGTCTTCCAATCAGTGCCCAGAGAGAGCTGATGGCACAGCATGCCGAGGCCTGTCTCTCACAACCAAACTCCAGGCCAGGCTCCAGACCAGGCTCCAAGCCAGGCTCAAGGAGAGGCTCTTCACATGATCTGGAAGATGGTAAGTTTATTGAGACATGATTCTTATCAAATGAATGACAATTTGGTAGTTAAAAATGTTGTATTCCAAACAGAAAAATAGGATCAGGTACGCAACACAGCATTGGGTACCACTAGTAAAACTTAAATAGGATATGTTTTATTAGTCTTCAATAAATCATATGACTGTCCTTGACCAATTATCATGACGGATGACTTGTTTGACAGCAAACAGATGTCCCAAAAGCTTTTCTTAGTTTTATGCTATAAAAAGCCTTGAAATTCATGTTCATTCTTCTTAATATGATCATGACCTGTGTATATACCTGGATCCCCTTCATCAAGACATTCCTGTTGATTGTGTCAAAATAGTCTGACATTGGGTATATCCAACAAAACTTGCTAAACAAACCATTTCATAATAACAGCTCACAGTGTCAAACCATGGACATTTCATCGGCCTGTCAGTTTTGAAGAAAGTGGGACTACAAAGTTGACTTGTGAAACATGAATAACATAAGCATCAAAATGTTCAAACAAACATCTTTGAGAAATGTATTTAAAGTAAGATTTTATCATGTTTTGCAAGTGTGGTGCTGTATATTTAAAGCTGCCAATGATTGTGTATAGCTTATGACTAAAGAGCAAGGTCCATATTGGCCCTCTGACAGACACCTGTTGATCCCCCCTATCTGAAGAGATGGCCAATGGTATTGAGCTGTCTTATACAGGCAACCTCTAAGTTCTAGGCACACACAGGGACTGAAATAACATCATTCATTGAACTGCCGTAAGTGTTAGGTTAGAGTTAATATTAAAATGACAGTACATATTTGACTTTGGTACCAAATATGGAAATAGAATGAAAGAAAATTCACAGGCATTGATAATTCTTTCTCTTTTTTAGTAAATAATGATAGTAATATATTTAGTAAGAAAACAGACACATCAACAAAAAAGCAACTTTAGGAAATATTAAACTAAGACATAGATGGAATTAGGTTTTAGAAACATTTAGATATGTTTGGACTCCTAATTCTGGACTAGGTAAGGCTACTACTGATGCTATAACACTGCTAGCACCTGCGTGAGCAGACCATAAAAGGACACTATTCCTAGTGACAAAGCATGCCCTCTGTCCTGACTAGACTGCCTAAAGTAAGTTGTGTGATGTGTTGACCCAAACCAGCCAGATCACATCTATCAGTGACAGGCTGTATCACATACTTGCTCCTGTACACAACAGGTTCCATTACTAGTTCGTGTGGGTCAGGATGAGAGGCATTGTACTTGGGATTAGCATGTCTTGTTTTTCAGATTAATGTCATCAAGGATTACTTCCCAGAATCTGTCATGCACTGAAATGGTTATATGAATACTAATAATGGAAGAAATATGAAAAATCATGTTGTCACTCTTGCATAAATTTGACAAAAAGAAAGAAGTGGGAAGAATGTGTCAGCTTGATTAAATTGTTAATTTTCTTACAAAACATGCAGTTATTAAAAGATATATTTACTTGTATTGGTCCCTTACAAACATGAACAACTACTCTTGCAGAGACAAGTGAGAACCTCAAGGGTGTGAGGAGCATCTTGAAGCAAGAGAGTGGACAGCTCAGTCCTGAGTCCGATGTGAAGGGCATACTTAAATCAGAGAAGAACAAAAAAGACACTGAGCCCCGGGGTATCTTGAAACGGGGAGATATAAGCGATACTAATTCAAAACAATGTGACAGTGAAACTCACAGTATCTTAAAACAGTCAGAGCTGGTGTCCAAAACAAATAAGGACTCAGAGCCAAGATCGAGCTTGAAGCAAACTGAATCAGAGTCATCAGCAGACACTATTGACCCAAATCGAGGGATTTTGAGAGCTTCAGATTCCAGATCAGAATGTGAGCCAAAGGGTATACTGAAAGGTGAATTATCAGATGGCCTCGATGTAAAGGGAGTGTTGAAAAAAGAGCTCAAGGGAGATAAATCTGTAACGGAACCGAGGGGGATTTTAAAAAAAGAAGGCTCCTTTGAAATACGAAAAAGTGAGCCAGAGAAGAGTGTTTTGAAAAGTTTAGACTCTAAAGATGAACGAGATCACAGCTTGAGGAGTATTTTAAAGAAAGAGCCATCCAAAGAGAATGTTGATGTGGAAACAGGTAGCAATGATGGGACACAGCCACACCTTGGAGATGTTGATGATCAAGAGGAGGAAGCAGTAGAAGACCACATCAACAGAAGACGACCTCGTCAAGGGGACAGGTAAGATCACGTTCATCACCTCATTATAGCATGACTGTGATTTCTAAAAATGTTGATGTCATTTATTAAAGTAATTGAAATTTTGTTTTATGTTCTTAATTACTAATTTTGAGTTGTATAACTGCATGACTGTGGGCTGTTGTGTTTGAATGTGTAAGCACACTGTTGTAAGTTGACTTTCGCTGAATCAGAAAGTAATGAAGGTGAACCAGTCTTCTTAACCGGAAACACATTGCAGTGTCAGCTTGTGTGTTTCCTCTGTTTCTCTGCTGTTCTAACTTTACTCCAGTATAACTGAATTCGACATTCAGCATTTCCTGTTTCAGTATCTTCTAATGATACAAATAAAACAGCACTAAAATCTTGTGGCTATCGTCATAGCTAGTCGTGTTTATCAGATTAGATTGATATTTTATCAGATGTCGGCTAAATGTCACATGAGTAACTTGGACTGCATTTGTCATACCTAGATGCTCAGTAACATCACATTGAATGGATATATGGATCTCCTAGCTGCATAATTATGAACTTTCTGGAATCTTGACATTGATATCCCATGTTAATAGCTGATGAATTACATTATCTCTGGTGGGCTGTATTGAAATGGCATCCTCATTTGCTTATTTGAGGATGTGCATTTGCCATGTGAAATTGTGCTTGTGAACTGTGAAATCCTGTAATGTAAACTGATTGTCTTACGTGACACTTTTGTTAAAGTATGTCCATCTAGTTTGTCAAACTCAGCTGTCAGCCATTCTAGAGGGAGGCCTATTGCATAATGGAAACATGGCATGGCTTGACTGGTCACCTCTGTATGACTGTATGATGGAGGTCAGCAAGGGTGCTCTCTCCTTCCTTTCTTATTAACACACTGTGCGGAAGTCCCTGGTTAAGAGGTTGGATCATATCTGGGCCATAAATGCTGAGTTTCTCCTTTGGTTATTGACGTGTTAGAGGCTTGGCTTGTTATTTACATTTAGTAACTGTAAATGTAGTTTGAAACAAAGATGTGCACCAGGCATTATGGATGTATCTCCCAAGGGAAATTTGACTTACTCCGTCAAAGGTAAGTTAGGTATATTATGTGTGCAATTAGGCAAAGCATGAATATACAGTATACTGTAAAACTTGACAAAATGCTGTCGTACATTTAACACTTTGACCTGTGGTAGATAACATTCATTTGAATTTAATGCTGATTATATTTATGTTTGGTATCGTATTTCTCCTGTTGCCCCAAAATAACACATGAATGAAATATGCACTAAAAGTTATTTTGGAAAATGACAGATTTCAAATGTTTTTCCCGAAGATTCATATTAGTTATTAGAAATTGTTTTAATTAATATCAATTGCATCATAGTGGATATTTGTAATTATAATAACGTAAACTCTGAATATTACTGAAATTTGTGGCAGATATATCTAAATAGTAAATTACAGCACAAGTACTGGGCTTCCTCCACAGTGTTGACAAAGGAAGTACAGTTGAGCTGTATGTAGTTAGTGTTCTGATGCTAATGACCTAGCCTGAAGGAAATCTACACCAGAGTAATTGATTTACACATGTTAATTGCTCTCTGGCATCTCATCAACATCTTTGTTCTTCACATATTCATGTGTCAGTAGTTAAGCAGAGTTTTGATGAACAGGAATAAATGTTTTCTGGGACATTATTGACCAGAGTTCAGGTTATTTTGATGGTTTATCCTGAAATAGGATGGCTTTTCCCTTGTGCCGAGAACATAGTATCATAGACACTTCTACTGATAAAGAAAAAAATATATGACAGTATTAACTTGTTTCTCATGCATTGCCTACATCAGGAAAACGCAGTTGCTTCTCTGTCAGGCAATGCTTTCACACAAGATGATAACCTGTATTGAGTTAGTGAAAACATGTAGTCTCTGGTTGAGGTGTTAGAGTAAAGGTTATTTCCTGGTGGAGTTGTGAATAACTGCACATGACCATTCGCATTGTTGAAGCTGGACACAGTGTGAGGGATGGTCACTTGATGTGTCACAAAGCTCTCCTAGCTTGTATTTCTTGTATGTGTGTCAGGCTATAGGTTGTTGTTTAACACAGTGAATAATCTAGTCTGGACCAGATGATCCAGTGACTGACCTCATGACCAACAATCCACACAATTGAGTAACAAAAACTACTCTAGGTCACCAAGATTGACTACCTGATTTATTTAGATGACTCTTTAGACAAGGATCTAGTCTGTTCAGCATCTTGTTGTTTGACACGATATCCAATAGTAGTCTCAAAGTTGTACTGTATCCTGTTTGTACTCTCAGCCTGTGATTGTGATTGTTACTTGTAAGCCGCTGTTAACTGAAATGTTCGCCATAGCTCCATTCCATGACAAAATGGTGTTAGAGACTGTTTATTCATCTTGAGGTTAGATTTTAACTTTTTGTTCTGGAAACAGGATTACAGATCCACTTGAGTGTAACTGTTGAGGGGTTTCACATCGATTGAGTGTGAAAATCTGACAGCAAACATCTCACAATGCATCATAATAGCTATAAATCTACTCCCATGCATGTAGTGATTGACATTAGCACCTTCAGTCCACCAGTTCTTGTACTGATAACATAGAACAAAACCCTTGAAAATAAATACACATACACTTCTACTACCTGATAATGCCTTTACTGTTGGACAGTTTGGCAAGGGCCACAGGACTAGTTTCAACTTCCATTAGTCCCATTTGTTTGCTGTACAAAATGGAAATGTTTGCAATGTTATTGACATTTCACTTTGTAAGTCCAGGTATTGTTTCACTAATCAAGTTCAATGTTATGCAAATGATGCAGTTTCACCATAGCTGGCAGCCCTATCAAGAGCGTGAATACATCTGCTGAAAGGTCAGAGTCAAATATTCAGTTTCCATGCAAGTGAGGACTGGTGTTTGTATGGTAGTATGGACATGACAAGAATACCCACACTACCGTGACTCACAACTGTTGTTTCAGTACCAAGTATTTCATTGTTTTGGTGATATTGGATGACAAGGACATACTTTCAATAACTGTGAAACTTGTTAGGTATTCTTTCTATTTGATTTAATAGTTCTTCATGTAGCTGAATAACAATTCCCAAGCGTTTGAGCATCATGTTAATGGCTTGCTCAGCCTAGTGCCCCTCTTACTGCGTAGATACTAGTAGTTGGTGTGGCTAAGGTGTTTATGCTTTTATCAATGATATACTTCAAGGTTAAGTATTGATTATTTCCATGCCCGTCCCACACATGTGAACTGCTATTGACAAGTGAATATAATATTATTGTAGTAAGTGTACAAAGACTTCAACCATAGCATTGTCATTATGCAAAATGTCATCCTTGCCATACATTGTGCTCAGGTTCATAACTTAAACAACTGTATACTTCTGCAATGGAGGACCTAATGTCTATGACTTGGAATGAGTATTGAGGGTTTTTAACTATGATGTTCATAAAGAAGTAAGTTTTTAATTATCTAGATATCATAAATGTTTTCATTTGTTTTTGAGACCAGTAAGCCATGAATAAGCCTGTAAGTACGATTTTGAAATTTGAGTGTCTTGAATTGGAGGCTCTTTGGTGTATTTTGTATTTGATATTTCTGTTCTGTTCAAGCTGTTTTAAAGTCAAGAGAAGTATAGGTCTCTGTGTATTTGATATTTCTGTTCTGTTCAAGCTGTTTTAAAGTCAAGAGAAGTATAGGTCTCTGTGTATTTGATATTTCTGTTCTGTTCAAGCTGTTTTAAAGTCAAGAGAAGTATAGGTCTCTGTGTATTTGTTGATCTTTGTGAACTGCTTCACCATTGCACTACTGAAATGCTAGTATTATACTGCCAGCAGTGTATTGCTTTACGACTATGGCCAACACTATAAACCAATATTTTGAGTGTCCATACAAGTTATATGTATATGTATTTGAGACATAAAATCTGTCAAAATATCATTGAAATATGTTCTATATTTCTAGTTCAGTACTTAGATATACCAATAGGACTAAACAGGTTTTGTATGTCTACATTCAAGATGGCTGATATCCATTGTGGATGAGTATTACATTTCTTTGTAAGGAATTTGTGTCGCCAGGTATAAGTACACTTTGTGTGGAAGTAAATATTTTAATTCAGTAATCTGTAAATCAGTATGAGTAGGTGACTGTGCTGTTTCATTGTAAAGTGATAGGGCACTGTACTCCCTTTAACCAATGTTTCAACTATCTTGTCATATGGAGGAACACCAACATGAAAATATGCTGTTTTTATTTTGGGGAATCAAATAAGTCCCGGTGCTCCTTTGTAATGAGAGAATGCTGTTACAGTTGGTAGTGATATAGTACTGTGATCATTCCACTCTTGTGGGGGCGGTAGGGTAGCCTAGTGGTTAAAGCATTCGCTTGTCACACAGAAGACCCGGGTTCGATTCCCCACACGGGTACAAGGTGTCAAGCCCATTTCTGGTGTCCCCCACAATGATATTGCTGGAATATTGCTACAAGCAGTGTAAAACCATACTCACTCACTCACTCACTCACTCACTCACTCACTCACTCCCTCTACTATTGTGATAACCGTCTCTGATCTGGGAGAACATGTATCACCTGATGTACATGATCCATGCAGTCTGTCAGGCTTGTGTCAGGAATATGTCAAGATGAGGATTTATATTTGAACTTTGTCATAGACCTTCAAGATTATATCCAAGCCTCGCACATGAACTGTAATCTGGCGGCTTTATTGGGTTCACCATGTGGGCAGTATTTAAGTAATTTCTCACTTAAGTATTATACGTGCCATGAAAATTTATAACAGAATTGTTGATAAAGATAAGATGTAACCTTTTCCGCATTCGAGTCAGATATTACAACATTGTGAATTAGTGTTTTAGCTTTTTGGTTTGATTGGATAAACTGCTCAGTCTCTGCTTTGTGTATGGTATGTCACATACAATGGTGTGTTTCACTGAATATACAGTATATCTCTCATGCATGCAC